TTACTTTTGTAAAGAAGATAGTTTTGTAGAGAAGATATTTTTGTAGAGAATATATACTTTTGCAAAAAATGTATTGATATTATGATAAGTCGCCAGTGGTAATTAAAGGAAATAATGCTGACGTCGACCAATCCGGCAAATTTATTGATTAAACGTACAACGTTTCGGCCATGGGTTTTGGCCCTTTTCAAGCAGAATATTTTGTTTGGAACGCCATCAGATCTCTAATCATAATTGCTTAAATTAGTATTTGCGGAGTTTGAAAATTGTTTTAAACTTACAGTTAATCTCGTAGTGTAATGGTAAGCGTTTGACAAGACTAGGATCGCATGTCTTCTCGTTGTGGAAGCTAAACAACGACTGACCGTGGAGTGACTTGCGTACAGGTTCATAAATACATTAAGAGTCATGAAAATAAAATACAGAGGCTAAACAGCGTTGATTTTCTTGTCGTAAATCGGGTTAAGGTTATCGGTGTCTTTCTGTAAATTAATCGTATCGTCGAATTTTTTAATATAGAACATTTCAGCGATCTCTCTTTTTCTCCCATGTTTCTCACTGTGTAAGATTTTAGGAGATTGCCAATGAAAATCATGGCCATGATTCGTGCGATGTTTAGTTACCACAGAGTGATTATCTACGTCTTTTTTTATGTCATTGAAATGTTCTTTTATACGAGTTGCCAAATGTCGTTTGGTTTGTCCTATGTAGCTCGCGTTACAGTTCTCACAAAGGATCCTATAAACTATATCAGTTCTTTTTTCGTCGGCTAATCTGTCTTTTCCCTTCGTTATGGTAGTGTTAAGTTTCTTAGGGATTGTATAGACAGTATTGAGGCCACACTTTTTTAGTTTGTGGGCGATGTTCTCACTTGAACCTTTAATGTATGGTAGTGTCATATATAATTTTGCGTCTTTCTTAATTTCTTTGTCTTTCGGTAGCTTGATTCCGTGTCTTATTTGGTTGAGCCGTTTTTTTACCTGGTTGTCTATTAACTGTGTTGGAAAGCCATTGTTAGTGAGGATCTCCTTAACAAGTGACATGTTGGAGTTGTGAAACTGTTCATCCGATAGCAAAATTGCGTGGTCCACTAAGTTGATAAT